GGCGGCGGAGCCGGCAGGCAGGACCGGCGCCGGTCCGGGCGCGTGCAAGCCGGGCGCAGCTGCTGCCGCCACCCGCCTCTGTTCCCGCCAGCACGCTGCCCCCGCCCCGACCCCCAGCCTCCCTGCCCTGCCCCCCGCAGACGAGAAGGAGGTCATTGCTGATGCGGTGATCATTGCCACCGGCGCCGTGGCGCGGCGCCTGCCTTTCCCGGGATCCGACGAGGAGGGCGGGTACTGGAACAAGGGCATCTCTGCCTGCGCGGTGTGCGACGGCGCGGCCCCCATGTTCCGCGGCCAGCCCATCGCCGTCATCGGCGGCGGCGACTCGGGTGGGGCCCGCGGGCCGGCCTGCTGGCTGGGCTGCTGCTGGCTGGGCTGGGCTGGCTGCCGGCTGGGCTGGCTTGCTGCCGCCTGGGCTGGCTGCCGCGGCTGGGCTCACCTCCCCGTCCTACTGCCGACAGTCCGCTGGCCTGACGCCGCCCGCTGCTGACTCTGCCCTTCCTCCCGTTTGCCCTCCCGGCCTGCGCGCCCTCCTTTCTTGCCTTCCCGCTGCCGCAGCCTGCGAGGAGGCCCACTTCCTGACCAAGTACGGCTCCAAGGTGTACATGATCCACCGCCGCGACGAGCTGCGTGCCTCCAAGATCATGCAGAAGCGGGCGATGGAGCACCCCAAGATCGAGATCCTGTGGGACAGCGTGGTGGAGGAGGCGTACGGCAACGCCAAGGGCATGCTGGGCGGCGCCAAAATCAAGAACGTGAAGACGGGTGGGTGGCGGCGCGCGGGGCAGGGCAGGGGAGGGGAGGGGAGCGGGCAGGGGCCCAGGCTGGGGCGCCCGCCAGCCCCCCTCCCTGCCCGGGATGCCTGCGGCCGCTGCCGTGGAGGCGCACATGGCTGGCGCGCGGCGAGCCCGGCCCGCCAGCGGCTGCTCCGCGGGCCAGAGTACCCACCAGAGTTCCTGCGCCCCGCTCCCGTCCGCGCCTCGCAGGCGAGATCAGAGACCTGCCGCTGGCGGGCCTCTTCTTCGCCATCGGCCACGAGCCTGCCACCGCCTTCTTGGACGGCCAGGTGGGTGCCGCTTTACCTTGCCTCGCCCCGGCCTCCTCCTGCACCCACCCACCCACACATCCTGCCTTACACACACACACATCCTGACACACACACACATCCTGACACACACACATACCATCCTGCCACGCACGCATATCCGTCACCCCCCTCCCCACACACGCATCCTGCACCCTCCCCACCCACCCCCCACACACCCACCAGGTCGAGCTGGATGAGGACAAGTACATCATCACCGCCCCAGACTCCACGGTGACCAGCGTGCCGGGCGTGTTTGCGGCGGGCGACGTGCAGGACAAAAAGTACCGGCAGGCGGTGACGGCGGCAGGGTCGGGTGCGTGGGGTGCGGGGTGAGGGGGTGGGGGGTGCGGCGTGTGCTCGCGTGGCTGTGCGGTGGGCCGAGCGGAGGGGGGCGGGCGGCTGGCGTGGGTGCGCGGGCGTGCCCTGGCTTGGGTGCCGGTTGGTTTGGCGAGGGGCCCCGCTGGCAGCTGCCCAGGTGGCCCTGGGCGCCAGGCGCCAGGCGCCAGCTGGTCGGTTGCGGCCTTGCTAATGGCTCGCTCCCCACGCCTCCCACTGCTCCTGCAGGCTGCATGGCTGCGCTTGAAGTGGAGCATTTCTTGGAAGCACACGGGCAAGCATGACAGCTGGCAGCAGGCGGCGCGGCTGCTGCCCCGCCAGGCGCGCGACCCCGGCTGTGACATCGGCTCGCCAGCTTCGGCCCTCCTGGCATCATCCCAGCATTTGATTCGTATCCCTTTTGCCATCTAATGTAAGTGCCAAAGTCAGGGTGCGCAATGCCGAGGCCTGAGCCCGTGTTTCGGGACTGTTCTCTTCTGCTGGTGCTTGCTGCTCAAGGTCACAGTGTTGCATTGTGCTTCAGCCGTTTTGGGAGATTGGGTTTGGCAGAGAACGAGTGGCATACAATTGAAAAAAAAGAAGGCTGAGGGCATGCCCTGCGCAGGTGTTGAAGTAATAAAGGTGACACTGGAAAGAGAGCAGGGCCAGGCACACAAGAAGGAGGCAGTAGGGCTTGCGCACTCGCAAAAGGATGCAGAGGGACTCCAAGTCACTGGGTTCCCCTGGGAGGCTGCGGAAGAGGGGATGCTGTTACAGCCCGGGCCGGCGCTAAAGAGAACAGGGTGGGTGCATTAAAGGTACAGCTGAGGGTGCAAAATCAGAGGCCTTGGCAGCTGGAAGGAACTTGGAGCAAGTGCTGGTAAGGACGGCGGCATTGCCGGCACACAACCAGCCACACAGAAGTGTAGGGGACAGTCGTTGGTCAACACATATGTGACCGTCACACGTGACGTCAGTCGACGGAAATCCGGGCATCTGTTTGATTTTTAGAGGGGGTAGGCTTTGCTAGCGATTTTTTCAATTCAAGGATGTGGGAGTCAAAGAGCGCACTCGCTCACAAGCTTGGACCGTACATGCAGGTGCCAGGCTTCATGGCAGGCACTCACAGGCTCTCGCGAGTGACTGCGTCGCCGTCGCCATCTGGACTGTCCTCCCTGGGCCGCTTGGTGCTTGCGGTGCCCCGTGGGCTGCTACCAGCTGGCCGCTCGCCTGTTGCAGCGGCAGCGGTGCCTAGCCGGAGGGCTGGAGCGTGCATGCAGTGCTGCTGCGCCGAGCCGAGGCTGGGGTGGGCAGCCGGGTCAGCCAGCAGCTGCTGCAGCTGGCGCAGCTTGGCCATGTTAAAACCCGAGGCGGCTGCCGAGGCCTCGGCAGCGGCGCTGCCGGCGCCGACGGGCGAGCACAGCTCGTCGCTGCAGGTCGCCTCTAGCTGCTGCTGCTCCCCCGACTGCTGCGTGGGAGGCGGTGGGCTGCTGTCAGGCTGCTGGTCGCAGACCACAGCATCCACGGTGGCTCTGATGGCTGACACCACCTGCCACAGCCGCTGCTGCTGCTCCGCGGCCGACGAGAAGGACGCCAGCGCTGCCGCCTGCTGCTGCAGCAGCTGCTCCTGGCGCTCCATGCGCTGCTCCTGAGCCGCCACCTGGAGCAGCAGCTGGCGCAGCTGATCAGCCTGGGCCTGCTGCGTCTGCAGCAGGCCCACCGCCGCAGCAGCCCAGCCGCTCTCCGACAGGCTCAGGCCGGCGGCTGCCACCACTGCAGGCGTGCTCCCACCTGGCTGCAGCCCTGCTGTCTCTTCGCCTGCGTGCTTGTGCTTGTGCTGCTGCTGCTGCTGCTGCTGCTGCTGCTGCGCCTGCTGCCTCTCTGCAGGCTGCTGCTTGTCGGCGGGGCCCAGCAGGGATGCAATCACCTGCACCAGCGGCAGCTGCTCCGATGTGCCGAGGGCAGAGGGGCCAGAGGATGGCCATGGCAGCACGCCCAGCGCCTGCTGCGGCTGCGCCTGCTGCAGCTGCTGGATCAGCTGATGCACCAGCGAGCCTGCAGCGGGTGGGCCGTTGCTGGTCGCTGAGCCGTCGCCAGCAGGGGACAGGAGGCTGGTGGTTGTTGCGTCCAGGTGTGGTGCGGCATGTCCATGCTGCTCCACAATCGACTGCAGCATGCCTTTGACCAAAGCCAGGGGCGACTCGTGGGCTGCCAGCTGCACTGGAGCCGGGGTCAGGCCCATGCCGGTGCTGCGCTCCTGTTCCAAAAACTGGGACGGAGGCTGCTGCGGCGGCGGCGGCGGGTGCGGCTGCTGAGGCTGAGGCTGAGGTGGCTCGAGAGCTGGGGGCCGCTGCCCTAGGACGGGGCCCAGCAACGAGGCTAATGGCAGCGTGGGCTGCGCCCGAGGCGGAGGCAGCTGGCTCATGAGGGGCCCCAGTGGGGCTGCCTCAGCTAGCGGATGGCGGCCATACCCGTCTGACTGGTGCCCGCCGTCGCTGGCCCCATCCTCGGATGGGTCTGCGGCCACTGCGGCCGCGGCTGCCGCCACTGCAGCCAGAGCTGCCTCCACTAGCTCTTCCTTGGTGCGAGGCTCCGAGTCACGGGCTCCCACCTCTGCAAGGCCGAGCAGAGCAGGCAGAGCAGAGGCAGGCTTTTGTGTTTAGGATGGGTTGGGTAGTGGGCAGGCATGCTGAGAAGGTTGAGTGCCTCCCAGCCCACACGCATGCTAGAGTTGAAAAGCTGGTAGCGGCATGCAGCTTTAGACACAACTCCTGCCTTGGCCCAAGTGGGGCCAACAAGGCACAAGCAGCCCAGCAGGCGCCAGGCCGCCATGCACACGGCCGCGCACCTCGCCCCACGCTGCTGAGCCATGCCTTGAGGCTGATGTTCTGCGGCAGCACGCGGATCGTCTCCCGCCACTTCTTGCGGTAGCTGCGCCCTGCGGGCCAAGGCAGCGCGAAAGGCCGGCAGTGGGGGGAGGAGATTTCAGCTGGAACCACACCTCTGCATACCTCGGCACTGATTGCAGCACCCCAGCCAGCAAGCCACTCCTTCCTGCTGCACAGGCATGCATGCGTCGCTGCCGATGCGTCTAAAAGCGGCCCTCGGCACAAGAGCCACAGCAGAGCAGCTCCATTCAGCATGCCCCCCAGCTCGCCACCCACCTGCGTGCGCCTCGAACGCGTTGCCGCTGTAGATGCATCCTCCCGTGCTGTGCAGCTCCAGGGCGCGGTCGGAGCAGCACTCGCCCATACACTTGACGTACAGGACGCCGCCCGAGGTGGTGGCGTCGCCGCCCTGCTGCCGGTCTGCGTGCAGCTTGGAGCTGCGCTCCAGCAGCAACCCTGCAAGGGGGCAGCTTCTGGGGTGTTATGGGCAGTGGGCATATGCAGGGGGGTGCGTGGCTTGCAGGGGCGGCCCTGGGCAATTGCAATGCGGCACGCCGCGGCGACAGGCAGGACCGTCCCCCTGCTGTTAGGGACGGTGTTCCCTGGCGCCCACGGGATCGCCCGCCTTCCCGTCTTCAATTTCCTGCCCTCAGACCGGCGAGCCAGCTGCTGCAGACGAACAGCAGCATGCAGGACGCTCAGCGCACCAGAGAGGGTTGCCTCCGCCGTCCCACACACAACTGGAGCAAGGACCTTGTAGCCCAGAGTGACCAGGCGCCGCTCATCGTCCATAAAGCGGCGTGCAGCGAGCCGCAGCCGCGGAAAGCGGGCTGGCCGCGAGGCGGCTCCGGGCCCCTGCCTCTGTGGTGGCGTATTGCGCTTGCTGCCTGATCTGTGTCGCCCCGTAAGCCGGGGGAGGGGCGCTGGGGCCCTGACAAGCGCCCGGGCGGCCAAGGGTCTGCTCAGGCTGACAAGCGGGGCAGGGAGGGCCCTACCTACCTCCGGAGAGGCATTGGCCACAAAAAGGAGCGGAAAAAGAGATGTGATGCAATGCATGGGGTGGCCCCCGTAGCGCTTCAGGGCGCCCCCGGGGGCGTAAAGTATTAATCATACCGTGACATCAATACTAGGGGACACACATCGCGCACTCTGCAGTGCAAATGCATGTCAAGTGTCTGCATGCGGCCTGCGCCGATAGGTCGCGACCTGCCAGCTGGCGCCGCCAGCACCCGGCGGTGTGGCAGCGGGCACTGGAAGGCAGTGCTCGGCGCTGATCCCCCCCCACCGCACTGCCCGCCCTCGCCGCCGACCCGGTGCAAACATTCAGGCGTCCAAGCACATTCACGCAACCCGTTTTCAAGAACAAGGAGCGAAATGTGAGATAGGCAGACTCCTCTCCCCCCTGCTCTGTCTGCATGCACTGCATGTGGCACCCCACCCCTCCCTTTCCACCTTTTCCACCTGCAGCGCCACAGCTGGGCCCGTAGCATTCACTTGCTCCATAGGGGTGTGACAGACAGACAGACAGACAGAGACTCTCCGCTCGGAGCGGATAGATCTGCTCCCAAGCCATATGGCTCGGGCTGGCAAAGCTACTGACGCGCATGCCACTGGCAGCTCAGGCTGTGACATGCAGATCGCGTGCGCCGGCTGCATGATGTCTCCGCCGCTATTCTCTGCATCGTGGTTGGCTCGGAGCTGGCACGGCGCTGAAGTGTTGCAAGAGTACGGCCAGCCTGTGCTGGCCGTACTCGTCAACAGCAAGTTGCCACACTGTGCACAGGCCATTCTCTGCTAGCCTAGCCTGGCCAACGCGCGGTGGGTAGCGCTGCCTGCTTTGCCGACCAAGCTTGCTCGGCGGCCCACGCTGCCTGCGGCAGAGCAGCCCAGAGTGCGGGTGGCAATTGGGGAACTGCCGCCGGGCGCTGGCACCTGGCAGGCGCGGCACCGCTGTCGCCGTGCTCCAGACCGCGCGCAGCCATGCTCTCAAGGCAACTTGCAAATGCCAGGCGTTGAGATGAACCGACCAGCAGCGGAACAGCACCGGCGGCGCCGAAGACGGCAGCAGCACCGTCGTCAGCACAAGTGCTTGCCAGTGGCAGAGTGAGGCTGCGTTGGACAGGATCTGCCCTGCTCCTGCCGTGCTTTGAAGAAGCGGGCCGCTGACGGCGGGTGGGTGCCTGCCCGCCTTTCATCGCAATCCAGCCGGGCTCCTCCCCGGTCAAGGAGCCTTCGAACCGACCGAGGGCAGCAAATCGACCCCGACTGCGGGTTGTCAAAAACTATTGCACGCGCCGGCTTGTCCTCAGCCGCTGCAAATCCTCTTCCAATCACGTTCCAAGAGGCTACAGGCAAGTCCCCGGTGGCTGGCAGCGCCCCTGCAGCGGATCGCCCGACTCAAACCGGGCTGTGGCACGCCGCAGACCCTTTTGCGCGCCTAGGAACGTATTTGAGACAGTGCAGAGCGGCACAGCGGCAGCCCAACAAGTAGCAGCTCACCAGTGGGGCACCAAATTTGCACAGCCTTCCATTCCCGCGGAGCACCCCCGCCACCATGCCGGTCACAGCCCACGACCTCACGCAGCTGGGCGAGATCTGCAACAGCATCTGCTACCACCTGGTGGCCCACCTGTCGGCGGTCGCCGCCGGCGTCATGCCGTCGGGGCCGCCCGAAGTGGCGCAGATCTACCAGCTGGCCGCCAAGCTGCCGCATGTGGAGCACAAGCAGTGGGATGCGATGGCGCGCCACAAGAGCAGCGGCGCCGGCTCGCCCGGCGCAGCCGCCGCCGGCGCCAAGGAGCCCGGCAAGCGAATGAAGTGGACGGCCGACACGGAGCAGGAGCTGATCAAGCTGGTGGAGGATGAGCAGCACCGCACAGAGCTGCTGGGTGAGGAGGAGGAGGAGGGGTGCAGAGGTTTCCTGTGCCTGTTGCATGGGAGGCTCGGTTGCGGGCAGCGCACAATGCGGCACGTGCCGAGCCGAGGGAGGACGTGAAGTGGGCTGCTGGCCTGCCGCGTGCTCATTCCGCTGCAACCGTGCGGCTCGCCGACAGGCACCTGGGCCGCCGCTCCCGGCCTCCTGGCCTCTAAACCCACCGCTCCGCCCCGCTGTTCCCTGCCCGCGCAGGCAAGGAGGGCACGCGCGGCGGCAACGTCAACTGGGCCTCTGTTGCTCGCCACTTTGGCTTCACCAACGGGGCCGCCATCAAGGCCAAGTACGGCGAGCTGACGGGGGCGCCGGTGGAGAAGAAGGAGAAGGTCAAGCGGGAGGACGAGGCGGCAGGCGCGCCAGCGGCGGGGCTGCGCATGCCCACACACCTGAGCAGCTGGCTGCAGCGAGCGCCGCGCTGAGCGCGTTCCAGCCCGGGTGCTGCTGCGTGCCAGCCAGCGCGCGTGTTGTTCTGCGCGTGCAAGCACCCGCCGCGCACGCCAGATTCCTTGCCCAGCTGCGGCTGCCGGCGATTGCAGGCGGCAGACGGCTCACCGCGCCTGGCCCCCTCCCTGCGCCGCTCGCCTGCTGCTGCAGATGGGGAGAAGCCCGCCAAGAAGGCGAAGAAGGCTGCACAGAAGGAGGAGGAGCCTCCCGCTGCGCCGCCCTCATCGGCTAAGAAGAGCAAGGCGGTGGCGACCGCGGCGCCCACGCCCGTGGCGGAGCCCACGCCCGGCGAGGAGGCCTGGAGCAAGAAGGAGGGGCAGGAGCTGGTGAAGCTGGTGCAGAGCCAGGACGAGCGCAAGACGGTGCGCTGCTGCTGGGGTGGCCAGGCCGGGTGGCTGGCTGGTTGGTGGCCGGCTGCAAATGTACTGGCGGGGCTGGCCGGCAGTGCTGAATCCCTGCTCAACCCACCCCGCCGCAGGCATTTGGCAAGAAAAAGCTGCGCTGGAAGAAGATCAGCGAGCACTTTAGGAAGAAGGCCAAGGCCTGCAGGAAGCAGTACACCAAGCTGACGGGCAAGGAGGCGCCAGAGGACGAGGACTGAGCCAGCTGTTGTAGCGGGTGCGGCGCCGCTGCTCGGCTCAACTCAACTGCTCCGGCTCAGTCAGCGGCGGCGCCGCCGCTGCTCTGCTCGACAGCAATCGAACATCAATGACTGAAAGCAGGGCCAGCGCCCGTTTTGTGGGCGCTGTATCGGTGCCTGCGCACTGAACACAACTGACGGATCCTTGACGGACAGACGGAGGCTGCAGGGCGCATGTGCCCCGTCCGCTGGAGCGCGAGGCGAGGGCGCTAGGGATTCATGCTGCCGCCTCTGCTTACTTGCACAGACCAACACTCGGTGTGACACAGTTGGTTCTCACTCCTTCACCGCACTGTTCGCTTCATGCCGTTGTTATTGGACAGGCTGTTTGCATTGCCTTTCTTGTTTGACCCTTCACCATGCATGTGCGACTGTTTGCTGTAATGCCATGCCATGCCAACCTAACTTTTGGTTCACCCGGCAGCAGAGGCGGCAACCTCCAGCCGGGCGGAGCGCCAGGTCGGCGGACGATCCTGTGGAAATGCCCAGGTCATGTCCGTGACACATTGCTGCTCTATCTGCCGCTGCTGCTTTCTCCGAGCTCTAAGTCAGCGAGAGTCGAGAAGGATGTTAAAAGTGCCCTAGATGAGGAGGGAATGGGCCGCAGCTGCGGCCTTCCTGCTGCTGCTCAGCATGCCAGCCCCAGCACAGGGCTGGCGGCTGTCAGAGGGCGTGCAGGAGGTGCAGCAGCTTGGCGAACCGGGAGCCTCCCCAGCGCTGGGCGACAGCGACAGGCGGGCCTCTATGAACGGTTTCTTCGCCAGCAAGAAGCAGGAGGTGCTGGAGGCGGAAGGTGGGGCCCCTTTGGAGGAGGTTGCTCCCCCACCTGCCGAGGGGCAGAAGCCCAAGGAGACCATTGCGCAGGTGAGGTGCCAGGGCAGCGGTGATGGAACCGGGGCAGGGCGCGGAGGGCGCAGGAACAGGCCTCCCGCCCATTCCAGCGGCGCCGCCCGCCGGCAGGCAGCGCGGGCTTTCTCTGCTGCCAGCCCGCCTGCTGTGACAGTTTCGCTGCCCGGCTACGTCGATGCTGGGCCCGTTGCATGGCCCACCGCTGCCGCCGCCCTGCACGGCTTCCTTCCCCGCTGCCGCCGCCCGCGCTGCCGCCGCCCCACACCGGCTCCCTCCCTGCTGCTGCACCGGTGCCACGTCAGATTCTGGATGAGGCGTTGAAGGAGGAGTTCCAAAAAGAGGAGGACCACAAGGAGGGCGTGGGCCAGCACTTCAACGAGACCGCCGCCAGCGACGAGGCACGCGCGCTGCGGCGGCCAGGCCTGGGCTGCTCTGCCGCTGCTTGTGGGGGCGTGCCTGGGCCGTGCGCTGTGCGGTCGTGCACCCACCCACCCGCCCGCCCACCAGGCGCCCCGACCTGCAGGGCACCAAGGAAACCGTGATCATCATCAGCAGCAAGAAGGAGAAGGAGAAAGAGCTGGCGCGGAAGAGCAACGCGACGGAGGAGGGGGAGGGTGGCGAGCACGCGCACGCCACCACCGCCTCCTCCGCGGCCGCCGCCGACGCCGACGCGCAGCCCGGCGACGCGCGCCACATCGCGGGCGGCTCGGGGGGGCTGGGCGAGGGCGCGGCGCTGATGGGCGCGGCCTCGGCCGCCGACGCGGCGGCGGCGGCCACCGACAGGGCAGCCGCAGACAAGGAGGTGGAGGAGAAGCGGAAGCAGGAGCTGGAGGAGAAGCTGGCGGAGGCGGCGGAGGCGGATGTGGACCGCATCATCGACTCCCAAGACAATGAGTATGTGCTATCCAAGCCTAACGAGTGAGTCTGCGGCTGGGGGCTGCATGGCGGCTGCCGCCTGGTGGTGCTGGCCGGGTCGGGGCTCCAGCTGCAGAGGCACGGGTGGTGTCCAAGTGCGGTAGACGTGTCAGTACCCGGCTGGCTGGGCAGGGTCGTGCAGCTGGTCCGGGCCGCGCCGCGCGGCTGCTGGCGATGGGGAGGCAGGGGTGTGAGCGGGCAGGCGTCGCCAGCAGCTGCAGCCACGGGAGCGCGCGCGCGCCTGCCCCCGCACGCCTGCCACCGCCTGCTCACCTGCCAACACACGCCTGGTCACCCACAGCTCACCTGCCCTCCCTGCGCCCCGCCCCCGCCCCTGCAGCGACACCATGGGCATGAACCTGGACCCTCAGTTTGTCAAGGACCTCACTGTGCTGATCGCGGCCTCGGCGGCGGCGGGGCTGGCCATGGGCGCCGTGGGGCAGCCTGCCATCAACGGCTACTTTGTGGCGGGCAGCCTGGTGGGGCCGGGCGGCCTCAAGCTCATCAAGGAGATCGTGCAGGTGCGGCGGCGGCGCCGTGCGGGCTGGCTGGGGTGGTGGCTGGCGGGTGGTGTTCCGGGATGGATGGGCGAGCGCCGGTGCAGCGGCTGGGTGGGCTGGATGAGCGGCCCCAGGCCGCTGCCTGCCTGCCTGCCTGCCTGCCGCCGCAGCTGAGTCACATAAGCACGCACGCGCGGGCATGCCTCTGCCCCTGCCCCGCCTGCAGGTCCAGTCTGTGGCCCAGCTGGGCGTGCAGCTGCTGCTCTTCACGCTGGGCCTCGAGTTCTCGCTCACCAAGCTGCGCGCGGTGCGGCACGTCGCGCTGCTGGGCGGCCTGCTGCAGACCGCGCTGTTTGCGGTGGTGGCGGGGATCGGGGCCAAGATGATTGGCGCCAGCGCGGCGCAGGTGCGCGCTGCTGCGGCGACGGCGGCGGCGGCGGCGGGCCCTGCAGCTGCCGCCGCGCTGCAGCTCCGCGGCCGGCGTGCCCGCGCCCGCCCGATGTGTGTTGCCCATGGCCGCATGCGTGCTGCCCTGCTGCCGCCCCTGCTGACCTTCTGCGCTCATGTCTGGACTCCCCCCGCCCGCCCACCTCGCTGCCCTGCTGCCCTGCAGGGCGGGTTTGTAGGGGCCATGGTCGCCATGAGCTCGACCTCCATCGTGGTCAAAGTGCTGGCAGACTACCGCACCAGCAACACGCCGGCGGGCCAGATCACCATCGGGACACTCATCCTGCAGGCGCGTGGCGCGGGCTGGGGCGCTTCTGTGCCTGGGGCGCATCTGCATGGCTGGGGCGCGTCGTGCGCCGGGCCTGTTCTTGTCCCGCTGGCCGGCGGGCTGCCGCAAAGGCGGAAGGAGGGACGGGGGGCGCGGGGAGTGGTGCCTGCTGCCTCGGCCGCGTCCCACTCGCCCAGCGGTGGCCTCTCCCTGAGCGCCGGTCCCCACCCTCGACGCCTGCAGGACTGCCTGGTGGGCCTGCTCTTCGCCCTGATGCCCGTGCTGGCGGCCGCCGGCGGCGGCTCCGGCTTTGACATCACGCTGCTGCTGACGGTGATGGGGCGCGTGGTGGCCAAGCTGGCTGTGCTCGCGGTCGGCGCGCTGCTGGTGGCGCGCACCGTGCTGCCGCCCGCGATGCGCGCGCTGCAGCGCCGCTTCGGCCCCGACTCCTTCCAGCTGGCCGCGGTGGCCTTCTGCCTGCTGTGCGCGCTGGCCACCGCGCGGCAGGGCATCTCCGCCGAGCTGGGCGCCTTTGTGGCGGGGGTAATGCTGTCGGCCACGGAGCAGCAGGAGTCGGTGCTGCACAACATAGGTGGGCGTGCGGCGGCGCTGGGTGGTGCTGGTGTATGCGTGTGACTGTGTTGGTGGGTGGGTGGGGGGTCATGTGAGGCGAGGGAGGGAAGCAGCCAGCCAGCCAGCCGGCAGCCCTGCGCTCTATCCCAAGCCCCTCCCCTGCTGCTTTGCCTGCCCAGACCCCAACCAAACCCGCCCCTCCCTCCCGCCTTGCCATTCCGCTGCCGCAGAGCCGGTCACGCAATTCTTCCTGACCCTTTTTATTAGCAGTACCGGGCTGGTACTGAGCCCTGTGTTCCTGCTGGACCATCTCCCCATCCTGGCGGCAGGCGCCCTAGCGGTCATCATCGCCAAGACAGTGCTGGTGAGCTGCCAGGGGCGGCGCTGTCGCTGCGCGGCGGCGCACCGGCAAGCCGCTCGGTCGGCCGTGCCGCCGCGCAGCTGGCCCAGTGGGCCCCTCTTCCGCCCTTCCGCTCCCCTGCACCCCACACCGTCCCTGTGCTCCCGCCCATTGCTCCATTCCTCCTCCAACCCTCCTCTCCCTTCCCTGCTGCTCCCCGGCAGATTGCCATTGTGGTCAAGGCCTTCAAGTATCCCGCAGATACCGCACTGGCTGTGGGCCTCAACCTCTCCCAGATAGGGGAGTTTGTGTTTGTCCTCCTCTCCATGGCCAACCAGCAGAGCCTGCTGCCCGAGAGCGTCTACATGCTGCTGATGGGTGGGCGCCTGCTGCTGCGGGGGCTGTGCTGCTGCGGGGGCATTACTTGCTGCTGCCTGTGGCTGCGCTGGCGCGGCTGTGCTGCTCATGGGCGGATGCCCGCTGATGCGAGGGCAGTACCTGGTGCTGCCTGCGGCTGCGCTGCGTTGCTCTGCGGCTTATGGGGGGTTGCTGCTGCCTGTCTCTGCTGAAGCCCCCTGTCTCTGCTGCTGGCGGGGGCGATGCATGGAGTCGCATTGATCTCTATGCCGCGCCAGCCACTCGGACCGCTGCGGTGCTCGGCACATTGCGCCCCGCTCAGTAGATCTCTCTGACCTACAGTTGCCCAGCCTCAGTAGGCCTCTCTGACCTTCTTGCCTGCCTGCCTGCCTGCCCCTGCCTGCCTGCCTACCCCTGCCCTCCTGGCCCGCAGGCGTCACCGCCCTGACGCTCCTGGCCACGCCGTTTGTGCTGCAAATCAGCAACCGCTTCATGCCAAAGGCTCGGGGCTACCCAAACGGATTAAATGCTGGTGACCTGGAGCTGGCCGGGCTCATCAGCAATGGCAACGGTACCGCTGGCACACAGGTGCGTGCGTGCAGTGGTGTGGTGTGTGTGCGTCTGTGCCGACTGCGCTGGCTGGCTGGAGCTGGTCGCCGCTGGGAGGGACTGCGGCTGTGCTGCTGCTGCTGTCCTCTGGCTTCAGCCTGGCGCTAAGCTGCAGCGGGGAGGGGGTCGCTTAGGCGTGGTTTCTATGACCGGTCTTGGGAAGTCGGGGCGGTGGCGGCCTGGCTGCATCAATGATGCTGCCTGGCCCGCTGCCAAGCCAGCAAAGGCCCAAAAGGGCGTCCGCGCTTGGCCCAGTCGTCGTGCCAGCCCGTTCGCTGTGAGGAAGCTCACATGCGCGAGGCCCTCACTGCCGAAGGCTGTGTGGCTGCCTCAGGCAACTGGCGGCTCCGCCCCAAGTGCCCAGAAGCACCCGCCCACCGGCCCCGTCCACCCGCCCTCCGCCCTCCACGCTCTGGCCTGCAGTCTGCTGACCCTGAGCTGCTGGACAGGGAGGGGCAGGGCCCAGGCATTGATTATCATGGCGTCCGCATCTCAGGGCCCACCATCGCCGCGGATGTGGCGGCGGCGGCAGCGGCGGCCGCAGCCGCGCAGGGGCAGGGCGCGCAGCGAGGCGCGGGCTCTCAAAGGCCGGGCTCGGCCCTGGGGCAGGCCGGGGCACAGCGCAAAAAGCAGCCGCCTTGATGCGGCGCCCCCGCCAGGCGCTGCTGTGCATTCAGCACAGGCGGTTTGGGACCTTGCTGCGCCGCCTTTCGTCACCTTGGTTGCTACTCCTTATTTCCCATTCACTCATCTTATGCCGTTTTTTTCATTCCATACGCCCTCGCACACATGCCTGCATTCTCTGCACACCTGCAACAATCAACTCTCCTGGCGCAGCTGTCAAGGCCGCCACACGGGGAAGCAGTACGCTGCTACCTCCTCCATGCAGCAGCTGCCACTGGCTGCCGCGCCACCTCGCCTGGCCTGCAGCCCGCAGCCCCAACCCTTCTGTTCTACTTTGCCCTGCCGAGCACGTCACCCAGCCGCCTGCTGTGCTGTTCGCCTCCCGCCTGCCCTGCCTGCGCGCCTGGCCTGCAGAAGCGGCGCGTCAGCATCCTGTGTGAGACCCCGGACAAGGCGGTCACCCCCGAGAGCAGCCCCTACCCCATCAGCAGCCGCGCGGGCGGGGTGCCCACCCCTCCCTCCGGCCAGCTGCTGGGCACGAGTGACTTAGACCTGGCAGAGGGCGGAGGGCTGGCCCACAGCCTGCAGCCGGTGCTGACCAGGCTGGACCACCGCGGCCCCGCGCTCCGCACGCACAGCGGCGCCGGCGGCGGCCAGCTGGACCCGCATCCCAGCGACAGCGACAGCTACAGCAGCCCGGCGTTCACCGCGCAGTAGCGGCGCGGGCGCGGCGGGGCAAGCGGGCGCCGCCTGCCGGCAGTTTTCATGTTGCATTGTTTTCTCTTCCCTGCCCACCATTGTATCATAACCTGACGCCTGCCGCACCAGCCGTTGATCGGTTGCTGCATTTTGGTTCCGTGCACTTCCCTAACCCTTTCAGCAGCAGAAAAACACACGCACACACATTCAACGTGCTCGGCGCATCCCCTACTTGCCCCATTGCAAGCCAAACTCAACTTAGAACACACACCATTGCATGTTAAGCTGCACTTCAACACACACAGAACAAGCGCAGCCATGAGGATGCCCCCCGGCGCCAGCAAAGGGCGGGAAGTGCATGGCGCTGCTGAGGGGGGTGGTGGTTACCGTTGGGCCAGCTGCAAGCGGGACGATGGGTGCATAATTCCTTTCACTAGCTTCCCTCTCGATGGTTTTCTCACAGTAATCAACCTCTTCAACAGCGCAGCTCGTTTGAAAATCGTCCCGCAAAAGACGTGCATGGCGCTGTGGCCCCGGCGGGGAGCGGCGGGACAGGGCGGCTCAGCCAAACAGCGGCGCAAACTTGGCCCTGTTCTGCTCCAGCCACGCCTCCAGGCCCAGCACCCCAGGCACAAGACGCTTCGTCTCTGACAGCGGGCGCAGCTGGCGCATGTCGACGGTATCGTAAAACAGGAACCTGCGGGAGTGTGTGGATGGGGGTTGGAGTACGAGGAGTGGCGGTGGTGGTTGAGTGTGAGGGGCATGGGCTGAGCGGGGCAAGCAGGGGCAAGCGGCAGGGATGGCGAGCGGCGCGCGGGCCGCCGGCCATGAACGTGTGAGGCCGACACAGCGCAAAGCACAGCTGCGAAGGGAGCTGTCCCATGGCAGCAGACCTCCCCCCCCACTCCTGCGCACACACCCACTCACATGTTGGCAAGGTCCTTTGCCACCGGCTCCGGCACCCCAAAGCCGACCACCATCTGGGCCCAGTCATCGTGGGGCGGGGTCACCGCCGCCACCTGCGTCGCACACGCGTGGACACCACGGGCAGTCGGCCCGCGCTGCGCTAGCTAGCTGCTAGTGGGCAAGCAAAGGCCTCCTGCGCTAGCTAGCTAGCTACGGCTTGTGGGTAAGTGGAGGCCTCCTCTCTCAGAGGCGGGCAGGCTGGCTGGCTGGCTGGCTGGCCGGTGCGTCGCCGCTTCTGTCCCCCCCAACACAGAGAGCAGCATCGCCGCCGCCAGCCACACATTCCAGCACACCCCGCCGCTCACCTTCTTTCCAAACACCTTGCTGAAGGCGGCAGCCACGTCTGCCAGCGTGGCCTCCTCCCCATTCACCCCGACCCGCTTGCCCGCAAACGCCGCCGGCCCGCCCGCAATCACCGCCGCCGCCACGTTGCCAATGTCGGCGGTGGCGTTCCAAGACATCTGCGGGCGCAGGCTGGCCGGTGGTGGATGTGCGTTGCAGGGAACAGGCAGGGGCAGGCAGCAGGCAGCCAGTGGCAGAGCGGGCATGGGCAGGCAGCGCTCCCGGAAGACCGGGGTGGGGCGCAGCGGCGGGCAGGCGCGGGGCAGGCAGGCGCACTGTGCGGGTGCGGGGTGCCGGCTGCAGCAGGTTGCAGAGCAGCAAGGCAGGCCACCCGGCGGACCACCCTCGAGTCACCCCACACACCCCACACACCTTGGCCTGGCACGGCTGCGCGATGAGGAAGGAGCCGTCTGGCTGGGGCTGGGGGTCCATGCCGGCGCCTGGCAGCAAGTTCTCGTAGAAGACAGAGGGATAGACGCAGGTCCAGGCGGTGGGCAGCTGCAGGGGCAGAGGCGGCAGGCGGGAGCAGGGCAACAGAGTGACGGCGACGCCATGAGGGGCAGGCGCAGGCGCAGGAAGTGGGCGGCAGGGTGTGTGCGCTGGCAGGGCGGCGCCGGCGCAGCAGCGCTGCCGCCGTCTGTCGCCTCGGCCCTGCTGGGCCTGCCTCAGCCGAGCCCTCCTCCCTTGTGTTGCCGCCCCTGCTGGGTGCTCCTGCCGCAGCATGCCAGCCCAGCTCTGGTCCCACCTGCTCCCTCAGGTAAGCCTCCACCTCAGACTTGGCGTCAAAGTGCGGCACCGTCCTGCCCTTGGAATCCAGGGGCTGGCGGGAGGGCGCCAGGGCGGGGCGGGTGTCCTCCAGGGAGCTCCACACAAAGTGCTTGACGCCCTCCGCCTTGGCTGCGTCCACCAGGTTCTTGCCTGCAGCGATTCAAGTGAATGGTTGCATCATTGATTGATTGAGTGGATTTGATAAGACTGTTGAAAGCGAAAAGGGGAGGTGACCAAGGATCTTGCAGGTGGGTGGCTGTGCGGGGTGGCGGCTCAGGGCTCATGCATTGGAGGGGGAGGGGAGGCAGCGAAGCCAGGCCACCAACAGCAGCAGCAGCAGCAGCTGCTGCTGCAGCAGGCAACCGGTAACGATGACAGCGCCCCGCGCCGGTCAGCCGGGGCCGCCGCGGCGCCTGCCGCCCACCCACCCTGCTGCAGCTCGCGGTCGCCGTCTCCCCCGCAGGCCACCCAGAAGTCGGTGACCCCAAACACGGCGTCGCAGCCCTTGAAGGCCTCGCGCAGGGAGACGGGGTCATCAAAGTCGGCCTTGACCAGCTGCGGAATCATGATGGTGGACAGGGCGGTGGCAGGCGGTGGCGGGCTTGGAGATGGCGGTGGGCAGTTTGCGGAGGCAGTTGTGCTTGCATTAACAGGCCCCAGCAGCGCGCCCCGGCTGTCCCACTGCACCCCTCACCTCCACATCCGGCCCGGCCAGCTTGGTGGACGAGGGGCTGGCGGGGTTGCGGGTGAGCGCGCGCAGCTTGAAGCCACCGATGCGCTGCAGGGCGGCCAGCACTCCGCCGCCCTGCTTGCCTGTGGCGCCGCACACGCCGATCAGCTTGCTCATAGCCGGCTTGACGGACGCTGGAGCAGCAACGAGGAAGGCGAACGCCGAGAAGTCTACTGGAGGAGAGTGTCGGCAGGGGCGATCACAGGCTGCCACGGGTTTGTGGTGAACGCCGGACAAATAACTTGGCTATTTATAGGCTCAGGTGCTGGCTGACCAAGAAGGACTCTCGGTTGAGGTCATCTCTGATCCGGCAAGGGGGGTGGATGAGGCGGAGGAGTGTTCCGAATGCCGCTTATTCGATGATGGAGAGCCAGCAAACCCTCGTTCTGGGCCAACGATTTCTGCAGTACCAATGCCCGCCGCCGCCTTTGGCGCCCGCCGTTGCAATGAGCTGTGGATCGCTGAGTCGCCGCTGTAGCATCTGCTTTGCCAACTACGGCGGGCCACGCTGGTGGCCGCAGCACTCACAGCCAACTAAGCTCTCTCGTCCTGAACGGCAACGCTGCCGCCGCGGCGGGGCGGCCGGGCTTGACCACAGTCCACGCTCCCTCTTCATTCAATGATCACATCCACTCTTGCATTTCGTTACCTGCAAAATGGAGCGGCAGGGCGCTGCTGCATGGCAAATCACCGTTTCCACCCCTTCACAGCGCCGTGCTCACCTCCCCTACCTCTCTCCTTCGGATCCGACCGGCTGCTTTCTCCCCTGCGCTTATGGCTGCACTGCCTGGAAGCCCATACTAATATCCCATTGTGAGCCGAGACAGTTTGTAAGCAAGTGCACCGTGCAAGCCCGTTGGGAGTCGGCCAGCAGGCTCCGGCGGCAGGTGGCGGCGGGAGCTGCGCGGCGCAGCTCCAGGAGGGCGACCAAGGGCTCCGCCGCCCGCTTCCCATGCATCGGGGCAGTCATGTGCTTGCATCCATCGACCACCCGCGCTTCCTTGGGTTTGCTCAAGGCACGTGCACAGGCATTGCGTGGCCCTGGCCCCCCGAAGTTCTCACGCCTCGCCGCCCCCCAAGCTTTGCTATTCGCGTCATCATGATGCTTTTCGCACCTGTTGGTGCCGCATCTGCTGCCAGCCTCGGCTGCCTGTGGCAGTGCGCGAGGGCTCTCACGGCAGCCACCGCTATCACCTCCCGACACCTGTCCAACCAGCTGGTGCAGCGATGCACATGCACCCAAGCGGCGGCGGCTAGCAGCCAGCCCTGTGCGACACGGGGGTTGCCTCCCTCCGCCGCCGCCACCGCTCGAGCGCCAGGTGTCCTTGCGGCCGCCTCAGCCCGCCTGCTGGCGCAGTGGGGGCTGCTCCCTGGGAGTCTGGCACTGGTGAGCCTTCACCTGGAGCATTGTATCGTAAGCAGCGCTGTGCTTCCCACAAGCGAGTCCCCTGTGTTGCCCGCTGAGAGCGGCCCTGTGTTCCCATTTCTGCGGCCGTGCAGGGCCTGCAGCCTGCAGCGGTTCCGCCCCGGCAGCGGCGCTACTCGTGCAGCGCCGAGCCTGCCGCATACCAGGACCTGGGCGAGCGCGTGCTGACGGCGCGCGAGCTGGAGCCTCCGCCGCTGTGGCAGCCGCGGCAGGACCCTCACCGCCTGCTGTCACGCGACGCCCACACGCCGCCGCCCGGAGAGGCGCTGGAGGCGCTAGGCCACCGCTTCTGTGTCATGGACACAGACCGCTTCTCGCGGGCAGCGCTCAAGTTGGCGGCGGCCAGGCAGCACGCCCTGCTGGCACACGCAGAGGGCGTGTCGATCCACCTCAGGGTGAGCTTTCTTCCTCACCTCAGCGCCATGCTGGAGCCAGCATGCCACGGTCCATGCCGGGGCGGCTGCTGCCACAGGCCGTGCAGCCCGGCCTGCGCGCAACAGGATCCCCATACGCGGCGTGCTTCTCCACCTTGCCTGCCCCTCCCTCCCTCTCCCTCCCCCACCCGCCCGCCTTTACCTCCCACACCTCGCCTCCACCTGGCCTGCAGAGCCTGGGCATCGGCATCGAGGGCGTGGCGCGCCTGCTGCAGCACTGCCCCGCCCTCTTCAGCTGGCCGCCGCAGCAGCGCGCCGAGCCGCTCTTCGCAGAGCTGATGGGAGAGAGGCTGGGGCTGGGCGCGGCGGAGGCCGCAGAGGTGCTCGTCTGCTGCCCCGCTCTGGCCAACACCAAGCACGTCATGCCCTCCATTGTGCGCCTGGTGGCCCACACCCGCGCCGACTCCCTGAGCGAGGCGTAGGGCGGCGGCCAAGAAGGCCGGCCGCGGCCTTGCCACCGCAGAGGGTGCCCTGTGCACTTGCTGCGGCCCCGAAGTGCGCAGCTCGTCGCCCGCGTTCCAAGAGTGGGGAGGCACGCGCTTGTATGAGCCTCCTGTTGACAGGATCCTTTTTTTGTCGAACCCTCAATTCATGTTTTTTCCAGCACTTGTTTCATTTGTGCCCACCGAAAAACGAATTCTTTAAAGGGCATGCTCCACCATTATAGCGCCTAGCCTTGTTCACTGCCATGCGACGTTGTTACATATGATACCCCCCGCACTTGCGTGCCCTCTGCGCTCCTTGCGCCTCCCTGTTTTTGCAGCTGGCATTTTTGCAGCCCGCTCCGTTGTTGTTTTGCTGGCGTTTTCCCCAGTTTACGCAGAGCCAGCCGCCTGCCTGCAGCATCTATTCTGCAGGCACCTGAGTTTTCTCGAGGTCCGACCCATGTGTGCAGCCAGCCAGATGCGCTGCATGCAACCAACGCATCTGCCGTGTGCCATTTGATTCATTTGCGCTGCCCATGCATACATACAAGCCCCGCAGCCGCCCGTGCTGATCCTGTAACCCGGTCGCACCGCACAGCAGCCTAGCGGCAGCCAGGCCAGAACAGCAGCAGTTACAGCGGCAACGGCGAGACTGCCGGGTTGGTTGGTGCAACTCTGCCGCGGCCTGGGCAGCGCCCGCCTCACTTCTTGGCGGGCTTGGCCTTGGCCTTCTGCCGCCGCTCGTGCTCCTGCAGCAGCTGCTCCAGGCTGACCGTGGCCCAGCCCTGGTCGCCCAGCTGTGCCTTGACCAGGCTCTGCGCGTTGTCCACCACGCAGCTGACCAGGCCAAAGCCATACATCTGCAGGCCTTCGTGTGTGCGCCCCGGCTTGGGCAGGAACGCCACCCCTGTCTCTTCCGCATACTGCTCCACCAGCTGCGGCACGAGGAAGAAAGCGAGGAGGGAGCGGGGCAGAGGAGGCGCAGCGCGGCAAGGTTGGAGCAGAGACGAGGGAAGGGGTCAGAGGGGGACACAGGCACAGCAGAGAATGAGACGGCGCGCGACTGCGCTGCACTCAGGCACATGCCCAAACCGCCACCAAGCAGGCGACCCTGCCGCCTGCCCCCCCACACCCACACCCACCTGCCGCAGCGTGAGGTCTGAAGCATCGTAGTGCGGCGTGGGCAGCGTGGGCGGCAGCGGCGGCGCGGCGGGGCCGCCGCCGGCTGCCACCTGCGGCGCTGTCCACGACGACGGCGGCGGCCCGCCATCCACCGCCGAATTCATCAGGTTGAGGGCGGCGCTCAGCTGCAGGGGTGGGAGGGCCAGGGACGGCAGGAGAGGGAGGCGCTGGGTGCAAGGCAACAAAGCAGAGGGTCCAGCCTCGCCAAACCGACGGCAACCCTGCAGCCCCAGCCGGCTGCCGCAGCTGGCGCAAATCTGTTCCTGAGGCCTACTTATATTGTAGTAATGTGTTTATCGCCAGCCACCCACCTGCGCCCGTATGCGCTCATGGTCCAGCAGGTCCTGCGGGAACAGCGACTTCCAGCCCAGGTACCTGCACGTGGTACCAGACAGTACAGGTCACCCGCTGTGCGATGGCAGCCACACGCAGCAGAGGTGCGGCTCCCCAGGGGCTGTGGCTGCGGCAGCGGCAGGGCGGCCATGGGTGCGGCCAGCTGAGCAGCTGCGCGGCAGCGGCCCCGCCTCACCAGCGCGTCACTTCGTCGTAATTGGGGCTGTTGGCCAGCCAGTGGTGCAGCACGGCGTGCCACTTGGGGAAGAAGTACTGCTCGAACAGGGAGGCCATCTGCAGGAGGGATCAGGCATGGCAGCAGGCGGGTGAAGAGTGCAGGCAGGATGCCTTGTGTGGTGCCTTGTACACAATGTTCTCTCCCCTCGCCATCGTCTCTGCAGCAGCGTCTCCCCATTGTCGGGCCTGACCTTGACCACCCAGGCAGCACCGTGCACACATACACGTGGCATTGCCATGCCAGGCGGGTGTGCAGCCGACTTGCCTGGTTGACGGACATCACGTCCTGCCAGGCCAGCACCCAGTTGAAGGGCTCCAGCTCCTGGTGCAGCGGGTTGATCACCAGCTCCTGCACACGTCGTACAACAGGGGCAAAAAAACAAGTAAGATTGGTTTCAGGGAGATGGATCAGACGAGAGACAGAGGTTGTAGCGCGTGTGAATCACAAAGAAGCAAGCTGCTGGCAGTCGGCAGCATGTTGGCCTTTGGTTCCATGTGTCACCTGCAGCGCAAAGGCCAGCTTGGGCACGATGCTGCGCGCCAGCAGCTGCTCCCAGTCCTTGGGCTCAAACACCTGCAGGCAGATGAAGGCATACATGGCAGCGGGTCAAATCTCACGCAGTCGAATCATCCACCACTGTCAACGCAGCCTGCTAGATAGCAGCGGCAATCAACCCCACGCAGTGGAGCCACCCGATGCAGCACGCAAGGCCTGACTTGGCTGGATGCAAGGGCCGCAGCGCGCCTTGTGCCAGGGCGCCAGAATGACGTGGGCGCTCTGGTCGGACGGGTGCCAGGCTTGCAGCGCGTTTGCAAACTTGAAGCGGATGACTGGCCAGAGCTCCGCCATGGGCGCTCCCAGGAAGGGCTGCGGGAGATGCGTGTTGAGGGGCAGCGTGGGGTGTGAGCGTCGGCAGTGGGCACCGGAGTGGGCTGCCTGGCTGGGTTTCAGTGCTAGACCAAGTCCACGTGGCGGCGGCTGCCACGCCCCCGCACCGCCAATCCCTAACCACCCAGCCAGCACGCACACCAACCCGGCCCGCCAGCCGCGCCAGCTGGCCCGCTAGCCCGCTCACGACTTCAGCTCACCAGCCAAGGGTGCACCCAGGTGTGCAGTGCCACTGTGTCGCGCAGCGGGTCCCAGGCCTGTACCGCCAGGCGCAGGCGAGGCAGTACCAGCGACTCCATGATGTACTGCAGCGCCGCCCCGGGCAGTACCGCTTCCCACGCCTCCACAAACCGCTCCAGCCGCGCCGCGTCCCTGCAGCAGCGGCAGCGGGCAGGGCAGAGAGTCAGGAGAGCGCAGCAGGCCAAGAGAGCCGCACAGGCTCAAGCCGTGTGAGTATAACCAAGCGCTGTTTGAGCAGCAGCGCCGCTCACCACACCACCAAACTCGACACATGCCACACTCCCACGCCTTGCCTGGGGTCCCAGTCATTTGCCAGCTCTTTCCGGAGCGGCGGCAGCACCAGCTCAGCCACCAGGCGCATGTAGGCGTCGCCGCCGCCCGCCAGGTCGCCGCCACCGCCCAGCACCGACCCCTGCGCCGCACCCTCGCTTTCCAGCAGCGGCCGCCAGCCCGCAAATTCGGCGACAGGCAGGCCCGGGTCGCCCAGCGGCGACCACTGCTGCATCAGCTGCGCCAGGCGCGGCAGCGCCTGCGGGCGAGGAGGAGGGGAGGGGAGGCAAGGCAGGGTGTGTGTCGGGCTGGCGAGGAGTGGGCAGCCGCTGGCCGCATTCACGCCTGTGCACTGCATCCTGCGCTGGACTGCAGCATGGTACAAGTGCTGCTGCCTGTACCACAGCCGTACCTGCGCCAGCGCCGCCGCCGCCAGGTTGTACATCACATACTCCTCGCGGTACTGCCCCCGTACCTCGTGGTACACCCCCTCCAGCTCAGCCAGGCTGCAGTACCGGCGGCAGGCACAGACAGGTGCAGGCGGGTGAGCAGATGATGAAAGCAGATGGTGCCGATGAGGCAAAGCAGGCGGCCACAGGCCACCACACAAGCGCCCGCAAGGAGCGGCCCCTGCCTGCTTGGCACAAGCTGGCCAGCACCACAGCGGCAGCGCCACGGGGTTGGTCGGGCTGACCAGCAGCACAGCAGCCCACCTGAGGGGCTCGTTGGCTGCCCGCGCCACCGCCGCCAGGACAGCCTCCAGCCGCTCGGCAGCCGCCGCCGCCAGGCGGGCCTCCTCCTCCAGCCTCTCCTGCTCCTTGCCCAGGATCACGGCCGTGTCCTTCTCGTGCCTGCACACGGCGCCAGCGCCGCAGATTTCAGCTGCCACATCAGCATGCCCCAACCACCACCACCAGGACCGCCTTGCCATCAAGCCACACCACAAGCACAGCAAGCATGACAAACACAACCCAGCCAATCTAAACCCCGCCGCCGGCTCCCAGCTCAGCCCCCGCAGGCGCCCCCCACCTCATCTTGGCATCCAGGCGCTGTATGTCGTTCTCGGCCAGGTCGACCAGAAGCCGCATGTTGTGCTGCAGCTCCGGCATGGGCACTGCACGTGTGTTGAGGGGGGCGCAGGTGTGTTGTGTGTGCTGGTGCTGGTGGCGGCGGGGTGGCAGGAGCAGGGGGCGCCAGCAAGAGGCCGGCGGGGCGCCAGCAGTAACAGAACCACACGAGGGGTGTGCACATGCAAGGCGGCGTGCAGGCGGCGTGGGCTGGTGTGGCCGCCTGCTGACACGGCGCAGCGCAGGGAGCTGCTGTGCTGCTGTCGCACCCGAGCCGCCGTCCCCGCGGTCCTCCTCCACATTCAGGTGCTCCAGGTTGGTGACCAGGCGGGCCTGGGGCCCCCGCATGTCGATGATGGTCTGCCGCTCCACAGCCGCCGGCTTCTGCTCCGACTCCTGCAGGCACGGGCGGGAGGGCAGGCGGGCGGGCGCAGGCCGGATGGGCTGCCTGCCCTGCGCTCCAGGCCGCGCCGCCAGCTGCCGCGCCGCCGCAATCGTGCGCGGCGCTGCTCTCAAGGCGGTGCCGGCAGCTGCACTGCCGCATCCTCCATCACACACAC